TCTCACGTATACTATGGACAAAGACTATACAACCTGAAGATCTCACGTATTCTAAGGACAAAGATTATACAACCTGAAGATCTCACGTATTCTAAGGACAAAGACTATACAACATGAAGATCTCACGTATTCTAAGGACAAAGACTATACAGCATTTCTGTCTAAGCACCAGAAAGGAAATCAAAATAAAAATGACATCTTCCTTGTAGACACATATGGATGTGAGTCGTAGACTATCTCCTGGGCATTAAGGGAGAAAACCGGGTTTTTCGAACTGAAATGCTGTAGGAAAGTTTCTCAGAATACCATGAACAAAGATGAGAAGAAATGTTATCATTTAAAAAAAAATGTGAACATCAATGAAGACTGGTTAATAAACAGCATCTTGTCCCTGAAGCTGAAATATATTGGCCATGGCGGATTCAAAAAAAATAATAACAGAAGTTATGGTACCAGGAACGAGGGGCAGGGGTTGGCAAGCAAAAAGATGGGCACAGGACACAAGTGACTCCTTGAGTATGAAAGTACATGAGGCGGGAGAGCTGGCTGGAGACTGAGTTTCTTTCAGGCAGACCGTGATAAGAGCTATGTTCTGCTACATGATGATGATACAACTTCAAGGTCTTATGCAGTGTTGCCACTTTGGATGTTTTACATCCAGATTTAGATGTTTTTCCATGCATTTAGATAGCGTTTTTGACGTTTAGATGGAAGATTTTTTCTAGATGTTTTTCATTTGGAAGGAATTTATCAAATCTAACCTAAGAACCAGGATAAATTTGACCTCTTAAATGCTATCTTGACAATACAATTTTGCCTGATAAGAGTAGGAAAAGGCTGTTCCACTTATCAGCTCGATGATTGGGTATTACAAGAAATTGGAACAGCTAAAGCATACCAGAGTCATTTTGGATCTGAAGCTTCAACTTCATTATCCAAGCTAAGTTTATTCTGTGGATCTTGTAAGGCAGACTTCAGTAAAGATGAGGACACGATTCTATAGGGTAAGTCACATCAATTCCTATGTAATTTGTAACTCTTTCCATTTGGATGTTTTAGATATTTTTTGACTCCGTTTTGGATGTTTTTCCCAAAAGAAAAGTGGCAACACTGGTGTACAACTAAGGACGAAGACAGCAACATAAAGATCTCATGTGTGTATAGCTAACAGAGATGAACTATAAACGCTGAAGCACTGCCGCGAGATAAAGCAATAAAGCTCCAAGCTCTATCAGAAGCAATTACAAGACCAGACATCAAAAGAAGAGACTACAGTCGTAAACGCGGACAGCCTCGATATTAAAGATAAGAATCTCCACTTGGAAAATGAAACACACAAGAAACGTGATAAGGAGACCAGGTATCAGGAGACCAGGTATCAGGAGACCAGGTATCAGGAGACCAGGTATCAGGCGATCATCTGATGCAGTAACAGTCACCTGAAGATGTCTAGGGTGTTTTATAGACGTCACAGCAAAGAAGAAGAAATGAGAGAAACATTAAATATGGCACCTCAGGTCCATTGAACAATGGACTGGGTGACAGATGAAGAGGAAGGGAGGGAAAAGACAGGAGGAAGAGATACAGAGACATGAGAGACACAGAGACATGAAAGACACTTAGACATGAGATACACGAGAGACACAGAGACATGAGAGACACAGAGACATGGGAGACACAGAGACATGAGAGACACGGAGACTTGAGAGACAAGGAGACATGAACGACAGAGACTTGAGAGACACGAGAGACATGAGAGACACTGAGACATGAGAGACATGGGAGACACGGAGATATGAGAGACACAGAGACATGAGAAACACAGAGATATGCGAGATACGAGAGACATGCGAGATACGAGAGACATAGAGACGTGAGAGACACAGAGACATGAGAGACACAGAGACATGGAGACATGCGAGATACGAGAGACATGAGAGACATGGAGACATGCGAGATACGAGAGACATGAGAGACACAGAGACCTGAGAGATACAGAGATATGAGAGATACAGAGATATGAGAGATACAGAAACATGAGAGACATGAGAGACACAAATACATGGGAGACAGAGACATGAGAGACACAGAGACATAGAGACATGAGAGACACAGAGACATAGAGACATGAGAGATACAGAGACATGAGAGACATAGAGACATGAAGATACAGAGACATGAGAGAGACAGAGACATGAGAGACATAAAGACATGAGAGATACAGAGACATGAGAGACATAGAGACATGAGAGACACAGAGACATGAAGATACAGAGACATGAGAGACACAGAGACATGAAGATACAGAGACATGAGAGATACAGAGACATGAGAGTCATAGAGACATGAGAGATACAGAGACATGAGAGACATAGAGACATGACAGATACAGAGACATGAGAGACACAGAGACATGAAGATACAGAGACATGAGAGACACAGAGACATGAAGATACAAAGACATGAGAGATACAGAGACATGAGAGAGACAGAGACATGAGAGACATAGAGACATTATAGATACAGAGACATGAGAGATACAGAGACATATAGACACGAGAGAGACAGAGACATAGAGACATGAGAGATCCAGAGACATGAGAGGTCTAGAGACATGAGAGATCCAGAGACATAATAGACACAGAGTGGGAGAATGAAGATGAGACGGTTAGGTAAGATGGGGTGGGAGTTTGAGAGGCTGACAAAGAATGAATAAGACCACACGGTGACAGCAGCAACAAGAGATACTGGGACTGATGAAAGTCATTGAGGATGAAGGGGGAGGGGAAATGTGGGAAAGAGTGAACGAGACTGCAGTGTTAAAGACAGACTAGAGGGAGGGTGAGCGAAAGGGTAAGAGAGGAAAATAATTAGCCAGAGAGAGAGAGAGAGAGAGAGAGAGAGAGAGAGAGAGAGGGAGAAGGGAAGAGAGAGAAGGAAAAACAAAAAAGAAGCTGTTATAAAAGACTCCTTAAAATGTATTCAAAAAGCTACAACATTTAACAATAAACAAACAGACAGTGTATTGACCTGCACTTACAGAAAGAAGCAGAAAGCTAGAAGGACACACCGGACAAAAATCAAAAGCTATAGTGCTGGGAATCAAACCTGTCAACTCCAAATGGCGTGTGCATCTCACTATGGAAACAAGTGTACTTCAAACATGACCAACTAGACACTCCTAAAAAAGGTGTCTTCCCTAGCCATGTCTATTGTACATCTATTGTGGAATCAACAACTATGGAAGATGGACAAAATTGATCTCAAACCATTGAAATGACACCATAGGCTACATATATTTATATACACAATAACAAACACAGCAAGCAACAATTTACAAACACAACAACAATTTACAAACATAGCAACAATTTACAAACACAGCAACAATATACAAAAACAGCAACAATTTACAAACACAGCAACAATTTACAAAAACAGCAACAATTTACAAAAACAGCAACAATTTACAAACAGCAACAATTTACAAACGCAACAATTTACAAACACAGCAACAATTTACAAACATAGCAACAATTTACAAACATAGCAACAATTTACAAACACAGCAACAATTTACAAACACAGTAACAATTTACAAACACAGCAACAATTTACAAACATAGCAACAATTTACAAACACAGCAACAATTTACAAACACAGCAACAATTTGCAAACACAGCAACAATTTACAAACATAAAAACAATTTACAAACACAGCAACAATTTACAAACACAGCAACAATTTGCAAACACAGCAGACATTAATGCTATGTCTAGAATACAATGAACATTTAAGAAAGAGATTTAAGCGGTAGGTTCCATTGTGTTACACGTAATACAAACCCTTGAGGCCGTAAAAACATTATATATATAATAAACAAACAGTAAATGTATTGATCAGCACTCATAAAAAGAAACAGAAGGACCCACAAAGCAACATAATAATCTAAAGCTATAGTGCTGGAAATCAAACCTGTCACCTCCAAATGACGTGTGCGCCTGGTTGTGGAAACGAGTATACTATGAAACATGACCAGCTAGGCTCCCCTAATAATAATCCCATCATCCGGGTGGGAACTGCCATAAATCAATGGTTGAATGTCTGATTCTGCAGCTCCTGCTGGCTAACCCCTGCACTCCTGTCCCGGTGTGATTAGAACCCTAAACAAATCTTGAGTTTCTGTTCTGAGACTGACCTGTTTCCGGTCAAGATGGCAGGACATGTTTCCTCTAGCTTGGCTCAAGACTGTTGATTGACAGCCTGACAAGAGGCCATCCTAAAGCCTCCTTTGTTAAAGAATCAAATTTTTTCACTCCAGAAGGAAAAAGAAAACCAAGAGAGACTGTGTAGAAACATTATGAGGGAAGGCTGAACCATGGGCCTAATGAATATCCAAGACCTAAACCAGGTGGCAACAAACTATCAGACATGGAGAGCTAGGCCCTCTGCCCTATGCGCCGCCTTAGGCTCAAGAGGAAAGACTAACTCTGACCCACCACAGATTTCTAACTGTGTCCTCTACTTCTGCCATCTAAGACTTTCCTCTACTTCTGCCATCTAAGACTTTCCTCTACTTCTGCCATCTAAGACTTTCCTCTACTTCTGTTATCTAAGACTTTCCTTTACTTCTGCTATATAAAACTTTACTTTGCCATCTAAGACTTTCTTTTACTTTGCCATCTAAGACTTTCCTCTACTTCTGCCATCTAAGACTTTCCTCTAATTATTCTGAATCAAGGGCTCCACAAAGAAGGTGGTTTTGCTCAGCGGCTACGGTGATGTATGATCTAGCTTATGACACTTTGAGTCTGTCTGCAATAGTTAGCAGCTCATGTAAGGATCTGCAGAGATAGACGGGCAGACAGACAGACACATCCCTAGAGGCAACACCACAAAACATCTGTGGAAACAGTCAGACAGACATACCCATAGAAACAGCAACACATACAGACACACCTGCAGAGACAGACGGACCGTTCAGTAAAAGTGCATTACCTTGAAGGCCCAGGACGTTCCACCGTGTGATCTTGTCACTACAGGACATCGTGAGAAGTCGCTCCCCCTGAAGGACCCCATCCCAGGTCTGGATGGTCCCAGAGACTTTCACAGGTATTGTCCCCTCTCCGGACTCGATCTTCGTCCTCAGCAACCCTCGTGCCCGTCTATTTGGATGCTTATCTCCGTCGCCAGCGACTCCTTCTGGATTGTCTTCGGGTTTATTCCCAGCATCCCCTGCCGGAGAATCCAATGAATGCGCATTTTCAGAGGCATCTGGCTCCTTCCGCCCAGTGCTCTCCTTCTCATGTGGGGAAAAAATGCGAGCGTCGCCACAAGGAGCCGTACTAGTATACAGATGAAACCGGACCCCATCCTTGACTTCAAACCCACCCTCGGGTCTCTGGACCAAAATGGATTCGCCAGCCGTTACCAGGCTGAGATGCAGCTGCAGCTGTGCGTATAAATAGCGCATTAGCAGACGTCTGCAGATAACTTCGGCGTGGCAGTCGTTGACAGCTTTCCCTTCGGCGCTGAGGTACTCGCCGTTGATGCACTTTGTCCCTGTGGCCAAACAGATAACTTTGCCAGGGTCGCCCTCCTCTCCCGTGGTCATCACAATCCCAGCTAAGACCTTCCGACGGGCATAGGCTGATGAGAAGTTCTCGGTGAGTTCACCAAATTTGTTAAAGACCAGCTGTGCGATGTGGTCAGCTAATATCTGGGGGTCTCCTTGGATTTGTTCTTCATTGACAGGCACCATATCTAGAATGACATAAATGATTCAGTCATTATTACAAGCATAATAATTCTGTCATTAAAATAATCATAGTGATTCAGCCATGACTATAAGCATAATGATTCTGTCACTGTTCTAAGTTTATAGAATCTGTCACTATTATAAGTATAATGATTCTGTCACTATTATAAGTATAATGTTTATGTCATTATTATAAGTATAATGATTCAGTCATGATTATAACTGTAATTATGGCTTTTTATTATAAGCATAATAATTCAGCCATGATTATAAGCATAATGATTCAGTCATTAGAAGTATAATGATTTGGTCATGATTACAAGCATAATGATTCTATCAATATTATAAATCATATGTCATTTATATATACAGACACGCACATACACATGATACCACCCCTCCCCTCCCCCCCCAATACAGCACCAATATCTTAGACACTGCATGAATCTTCAACCACAGGTCTGAATACGTCATCAATGTGCCATATACTGTACACAGAATTCTCCCCACATCCAACACACGCCACATTCTCCCAAACATCCAACATTCAGGAGTGACCACTCTATCCACAACCCACACATAGCACTGAAAATATACCCCCATACATCCAACATACAGAAATCAAGCCTCCCCCCCCCCCAACCAGAAATCAAGCCTCCCCCCATACATCCAACATACAGAAATCAACAGTCTCTCCTCATACATCCAACATACAGAAATACCCCTCCCCCCCTACCCTACATCTAACATACAGAAATCAAATGTCCCCCCCCCCCCCCCAACATTCAACACACAGAAAACAAACATCTCCACCCAAACATCCAATGTTCAGAAATTAAACGTCTCATCCCAAACATCCAACATACAGAAATCAAACGTCTCCCCCATACATCCAAAATACAGAAATCAAACGTCTCCCCCATACATCCAATATACAGAAATCAAACGTCTCCCCCATACATCCAATATACAGAAATCAAACGTCTCCCCCAATACATCCAACATACAGAAATCAAACGTCTCCCCCATACATCCAACATACAGAAATCAAACGTCTTCCCCCATACATCTAACATACAAAAAACAGCACACACGGCCAAAAAAATCAATACTAATACATTACTCATGTCCCACATCACTATCATGTTCCTTGCTGACTGGCGGGGTCGATTATGCCTCTCCACAATCTGCGATCTGCAATAGCATTTATCCGTGTGTGTGCTGACAACCCCTCAATGCCATGACAAAAGGCTGTCAAAAAAATCATCTTGCGTTGTTTACTTTCTCTCTTTTTCCACAGATCTTTCCAGTGGTCACAACATTTTCCCCGTCTGCTTTTTCTCATAACATGACCCAAAAATGTCTGATATTTGTGATAAGCAGTCTTCAAAGCCCTCACATTTTTCAAAACAAATAGGTTCCTTTTCTGGCTGTCTAATTAATTCAAAGGATTTTTCTGTCGAACCAAATCTCCAATGACTCACAAAATTGTTCGATTTGTTTATTAATTCTACACTCAGTCCCACCCCCCCACTCCCCAAATCCCCCCCCACCCCCCCTCCCCCAAACACACCCGATACTCATGCCCAACACACACCCGATACTCATGCCCAACACACACCCGATACTCATGCCCAACACACACCCAATACTCATGCCCAACACACTCAATAAAAAATGGTTGATTCCGTGCAACACCTTCAAAGCGTTGAGAGCAGCGTTATATTTAGCCAGCTTTTTGCTCCGCCCAGAGCCTATAAATTCTTGAGCTCCAACTGTCACCTGGTAAATGATACACAGAACCGTTACAAACTACATAAAGTTGTCTCCTTCTGGGTTCCCGCGTATAAAGGAAAAACACCAACAGTCTGCATACAATTTGGCCACATCTACACAAACGGATGTGCATGCAAAACTCAAGGCCTGAAAGAGGGCCAAAGGGTGAAAGTTCAGAAGAGGCAAAACAACTAGAACCTTCCGCCAAAGTTTACAGCCGGTGAATGCTAAGAAGAAGAAGAAGAAAAAGAAGAGTAGGAGGAGAAAGAAGAAGAAGAAGGAGGAGGAGGAAGAATAAGAAGGAGGAGGAGGAGAAAGAAGAAGAAGGAGGAGGAGGAGAACAAGAAGACACAGTTTTTCATTGCCAGGCAATAGGATTAGGAAAGAACAGATAAGCTGGGGGGAAAAGGGGGTGGCGGGGAAAAAACAAACAACAGACCCACTGTTTTCTAACAAACATGTCATAAGAGATGACTTATTAGGGATTTACTGAAACTGACAGTGTGGACTGAAACGTGCTGATATCGCAGCCTAGCTGGAAACACAACAAAATGTGCCAACTGCCCTTTTTACCGTGGAATGCAGAAGGAGAGGAAGAAGCTGCACATGCTGAACAGACATAAAGAAAACAAAAAGTGATAAGTATCTAAACAGTCCACAATAAAAAGACAAAAAACAGTGATTTGATTATGACTAAAACAAAAGTGTCATCCAGGAAGCAAAGCATTTCACCAAAACAGACACCATTAGGGGGTCTGGCCAATGGTAATGTTGCTAGATCTTTGTTAATTAAATTGAAAAAATTCATCATCACAACATGCATCAGTCTTCTTGTATCCAGTCTCTGGCAATATGTTTATCATTACCAACAGAAACTGGACGTTCCATCCCAACTTTGTCTTCAACCACTTCCAAACCAGATTTGAATCACAAAAACCACCCCATGCATGAGACAACCTTGATTCTTCTTCTTCTTTGTTCACTGGCTGTAAGCTCCAGAAGAAGGTATACCGTCAGAGTTTGAGCTTGAACGGTTTTTTCACACACACACACGCACGCATGCACTCACACACACATATATAAATATATATATATATTCACTCACCCACATATTCACTCACAGACACATAGTCCCTCACCCATCCACTACTAACCCACAAATACACATATTCACTTACACACCTACACACATATTCACTCACCCACCAATACACACACATTCACTCACCCACACACACACACACACATATTCACTCACCTACACACACACATATTCACTCACCCAACACACACATTCACTCACCCACACATTCATTCACACATATATTCATTCACACACCCACACATTCACTCACTCACCCACAACCACACACATATTCACTCACCCACCCACACACATTCACCCACCCATCCACACACAGGAGAACAAGAAGACAGCATACACAAATGCCCACCTTCATGATAAAGATTTTATAATTCCGCTCCCCAACTTCCGAGACGAGCTCGTACTTGACCCCTCTGTGGATCTCATTGAGGACCATCACAGGATTCTTATTTGACTGTTGAGAGGGGAGATTCCGCAGCTTCCGCTGTATGCTCAGCGCCTAAATAATGTACAAGAAAACATGATGTATGAGACAATATTATGTATGAGAGAACCCGTATGTATGGGAGAAAAGGATGTACGAGAGAACATAAACTATGAGAGAACAAGACCATGAGAGAACATAATGTCTGAGAGGACATGATGTATGAGAGAACTAAACGCAGGTCTACAAGTAAAGCCTGTTCAATATGATAATGTTTAGGCTGATTAAACATAACATTCAAAAGGTCACAATGAAGGCCCAAATTTGACATGATAAGGGTGCCATAACCTAAGGGCTCAGACATTCTTAACCTCCTACCCCCAAGACATTTTATAAATGACTGAAGCCTCCAGACATTTCACGAGGGTGGGGAGAGGGCATGGAGTTCCATTTCTTAAGTATTTCCACATACCATATTTGTTTGTGTAAAAGATGATGTCCCGCCCCCCTTCTCCCACTTTATTTGTTTAAAATTGGGGGCCATCTTAACATAAGAAATGTGTTAAATAAAATATTCATTTCTTACTTCAAGGATTTTTAAATAAAGGGGGGGGGGGGGAAGAGATCTTATGCATATAATACATATAATTATCTTGAATTTCAGCACATAATAATAATTATTATGGTTAGTTTTACAAAGCAGGTTACGTTTCATTGACAAATTGAAGTTGTTGTGCTGGTCTACTCTCCTACAGGCTACGGGTGTGTCCCACTCAGTTGTTTGCTTTCTGGGTTGTCTTGCATTTATGTTTTCCTTCTGAGAAAAAGAATGCCTGTAACATAGGTTGCAGCAATGTCTAGGGCGGTTGTGTTAGACTACATTTCTCCATGTTTTTGGAGTGCTTAGACTACATTTCTCCATGTTTTAGGAGTGCTTAAAGTGTTCGCCTGCTGAAATATACAACACGCGACGACACTGCGCAAGGCCCAGCAACCTTGTGCCAAGTTGCGTGGCTCAAGGTCTACCAATCAGAAGTGAGCTAGTGTGTAATACTGTGCAAACTGAGAGACCAGAGTTAGTTTTACCATTATTATAACTATTACCATATAAGACAACTAGATACCACATAAGACACCTGGGTAGCACATGAGACACTTGGATTTCATATAAGAGACCTAGAGTTACGTGATACCTGGAAACACTTCTCCATAAGAGACACACCTGCCCACACAACCCCCACCTGAGCTCGGCTGATGGCAAAGCTATCAGAAGTCTTCTCAAACTCCTGCCCATCGCCATCGTTGTTCTCGAAGTCATTGAACAGCACCTCAGACCCCAGCATGTCATTGGTGAAATCAGCCGTGGAAGGCAGAAACCCCCGACCCAATGCCTGATGAGCCTCGGAGGCATCTGGAAACTGGACGAAGGACTTGAGTGCCTGCTCAGCCGCATGCAGTTTGGCAAGCTTCTTGGAGCTGCCCCTGCCTTCAAACGTCTGCCCATTGACCTCCACTGACATAACAAACACGGGAGCGTGGACAGGACCCAGCTGGGACACAAAGGTGAACTGGGTGCCCGGTTTGAGTTCGTTGAGATGCATCAGCGCGTTCTTGGGTTCTGGAGGTCCCGCTAGTCGTCTTTTCTTTTTGGGCCCCATCTCGCCTCCCCCTGCCCGTTTGCCCAGCATCGCCTCTGGCTGTGCGACAGACTCCTCAGAAACGGGAGCTTCTGCTTCGACGGCGGACAATCTTCTTTTCAGAGCTTTTCTTCCGATCTCAGGGGCACCTGTGAAAGAAGAAAGCCAATGATCGAGTTAGCTCTTACTACACTGACCTAATTTTAACCGGTTCTGTCACAGTTATTTACTGAACTCATGTTTGATTCAGTCAGTCAGTAGCATGTCCTTTGTAGAACCTTGCTCTCATAACAACCCTCCGAAAAACTTCTCGATCACAAGCAAGATGTCCCGAGTCCGATACACCCCCCATCTGGAGATTTCCACCACAACCTGCCCCCATCTTCTCTTTGGCCTTCCTGTTCCTCTCTTCCCAGGTATATAACCCTTAATTATTGTTCTCTCCAATTGGGTAATGAAAAAAAAAAAAAAAAAAAAACGTGCATAGGCTATACAGGCATTAATCGGGTAGAGAAAAGATCTGAATTTCGCAGATACTATCGCAGGTGCAAAGAAAAACAGACGATTTCTCGTGTACAGCACCAAAAATAGGACTACAAATAAGTTATGAGAAAACAAATATATTAAAGATACCAACAGCAGATCATGTACATGTCTTGCTAGAGAACAAACCAATAAAAGTAACACACCATTTTACCCATGTGGGAAGCAATTTTGACTCTCAATGAGAGATAAATAAAAGAAATTATGATATACATCGGCAAAGCAACAAAAGTCTTTAAAAACTATCGGTAAGGCTGTCTGTTTGCAGCCGACATGTCATGAATTCACAGATCGGCGAATTTGCTCACCAAGGGATATGAACGCAAATTCGCAGATCGTCGAAGTTGGTCAAAGCCTTAATGAAATATGAAGCTTTAAGTTTACAGCCCCCCCCCCCCCCCCCGGTCCTCTTTCTATTACCCTTGCTAATTGTTACTAAGTTGTCAAGTCTACCCCTTGCTTTGAAATATAGCTTCTGTAATCAAACAAAAAGAATGATATGCCGGCAAAACTAAAGAATAACATAATCTTTAACAAGAAGGTTGAAAACTGATTGGTTATAATATAATTTCCTTGTTTATTTTGAGAAACTAAGCAATTACTGCGATTTTAATATGTTACATTACAGTGAGAAAGGTACAAACAGTTTATCAAAATGGTCTGTCTGTCTGTCTCTCTCTGTCTGTCTGTCTTTCTCTCTCTCTCTCTCTCTCTCTCTCTCTCTCTCTCTCTCTCTCTCTCTCTCTCTCTCTCTCTGTCTGTCTCTCTGTCTCTACTGCTGCTGTCTTAGTTTCACACAATGCTCCACAGCTTCACCGGAAGCCACTTTAGGAAACACTGATCTACACTTAAAGACATTTTGCTGCGGGAGACGGAGCATCGGTGAATATGCTCGGTGCGCTGTGATGTCGATTCTTAAATCAATTACCAGTGTAACGTCATTCAGACAACAGCAATCTAAAAGAAACCAAATAAACAAGAAGAGGGGAAAAACCCTGGTAAAAGAAGAATCGCATAGAACTAACACAATGGCAATAATAACCAACATGAGCACATCGGCAAATAACCATATCCGGGGCAGGGTCAGGTTCTAATAGACGATGGAATCAAGCTGACGTTACAAATAAGATGATCCTGCTCCTGTTACCTCGGGTGTGGGCGGCGGAAGTTACCGCTAATTGCTGCCCATCTAACGGTTTGTGTAGACTTCCATTCCGCTGGAAAGCTTTCGTGCCGCTGTTATGGGAGAAGGAGAGAGAGAGAGAGAGCGAGAGAGAGAGAGAGAGAGAGAGAGAGCGAGACAGAGAGGGTGAAAGAAAGAGATAATAGGCAAAGGGGCGCTGACACACAAAAAACCCATGGGGGTGGGCTTAGCCGTCTCAGTGTACTTGATTTTTAATTCACCCCAAACAACAGAAATCTCGGAGCTCCCGTGAAAGTCCAAGATTCTAGTGGTGTTATGGTTAGGGTTGGAGTTAGTCAGCGTCTATGAGGCGGTGAGGGCGGACAAATATCCTAACCAATAACACCCTAGAATACTAGCATTTTACTTGTTTGGGGCGAATTAAAAATAAAGTACCCTGCATTAAAATGGAAAAGGGGGGGGGGGGAGGGGGGGTCATCAGTCGACCTGAATCCCCTCAGGTCACCGATGAGAAGAAGGAATTGTGTTGATACAAAAATGATCAAACACAGAAGCTTTAGAGAGGTTGGGAATGAAAAGAGAAAAAAAAACTCCTCGTGCGGGTTCGGGGGGCATTATAGGGAAAATAAGAATAGACCCACCGCCTTCCCAACAAGCATGTCGTAAGAGTCGACTAAGTGGGGGCTTCCTTCGAAGTCGGAGTGCCTTTGCCTGAGAGACAATGAACCAACAATTTGCATAAAGACAAGTCAGATGTGTCAAACGGATGTGTACGTAACACTCAGGTTCTGGAACAAGACTAAAGTCCAGAGGTAGACAAATACCACGAACTTTCCGTCGGAATTTACACCAGGTGAACAAGAAGAAGAAGAAGAAGAAGAAGAAGAAGAAGAAGAAGAAGAAGAAGAAGAAGAAGAGGAAGAAGAAGAAGAAGAAGAAGAAGAAAACCAACGTTGTTGAAAAATATAATACAACTTTGGGTTCCGGGTTCCCGAGGTGGGGACGAGGACGAACAGACCTACCCCTCAACAAGCATAGAAGAACCTAATTAACTAAAGATTTGAGGCACACATACTGTAACCCAGCTGTAAACCACAACACAAGGCTTCAACCTTGAACAGACGTACACAGAAAAAAAGCCCCACAGAAACACTTAGCCCGTGTTCACCTCAAGACAAGATCACCGAAACACGCACGCCTGCGAATTAAACCTTCTCCCCTTAACACCAGGCGGCGTCTGCTGCTCCCATCACACCACTCTAATCTCATTTCCCAGTTGGAAAGCCATCAAAACTGAACGCTGAACAAATAAGTAAACAGCCATGAACACACGCACACACGACGCAAGCTCTGTCTGTACCTCAACTGAAAAAAGCACAGAGAATTTTAAGCGCACACAAGAGACGATTTGAATTAAGGAGGGGATAATCCTCAGTCGTGCGGCCTGACAGAAACATGCCTGATGTGTTTTCCCTCCGCTGAAGAAGAACTGTCCCGACACGTATATCATTCCCGTGTGTTTCTGAAGCGGTTGGTATTCTTGCCCGTTGCTCTGTAGACAAACACCCCTGTCTAAAATACACGGCAGGAACTATCAGAAGAGCGAGCGAAAGAACTTTATTTTACAAAAGGGTTACAAATTGGGCACGCAGGCCCGTCTTGCATTCGGTCCTTCTAAGCACTCATCTTTCAGGCCACAATTGCAGGTTCTCAATAATGCACGTTGTTTAAAAAAAAACACATATACATAATGAAATAATGCATTCATGTATCTTGCATACACAATCATACACATTCCGAATATAAACACACACTCTTAAACGCCCATACACACACAGACACCAGCACAACCATACATGTACATACACACACTTATATATACGTCCTCATAAGAATACATGCATGCATTCATGCAAATACAGACATACAAGTACCCACATTTATGCGTAGACATGCATGTTCTCAAACTCATATATATATATATATATAGGTACAATCCCCTTTGAAGAGGAAAATCCCAGACATTTAGGACCCCAACTCCTGATCTACACCAGCCAAATACGGTGTACACTTGAAGAGAATCCCTGGACAGATACAAATAGTTCCCCGTGTGGGTTCCGGGATCCTGTTATAGGGAAAACAAGATTAGACCCACTGCGTACCCAAAAGTATGTTGTAAGAGTCGACTAATTGGGAGCTTCACTTAAAGTCGAAGTGCATCTGCTTGAGAGGCAAGGAATCAACAGTCTGCATACAAATTAGCCAGATCTGTCAAACACTCAAGCTCTGGAACAGGACTGCAGTCCAGAAGTGGACGAACAACCAGAACTATCCGCCAGAATTTACAGCTGGTGAATGTGAAGAAAAAGAAGATACAAAGAGTAATCAAGACGTCATGGAGGACACTGACTCACCAAGTCAACTTCCTACCCACACCAGAAGGAGACGCTCCATATTCTTTGATCGTGTCAGGAGAAGGAGAAAACGAGTATGCATCACGACGGTGGGAAAGCTGCAGTGTAGGAGGAGGAGGTGGAGGGCGGAGGTGGAGGTGGAGAAGAAGAAGACGCAGAAAGCACTGCAAAAAGACAACAAGTCCATTCCACAGTCATTTTTAACCGATAACTGAAATTCCCGTACTCAGAAAATTCCCCACAACACGCTTCGTCCCCTTCCCTGAGTAGCCAATGAAGGGCATACTGACAAGTACTATTTACGAAGCGAACAGAAGGGTCCGTTCAGATATCTCTGCCTGCCCTGACGTCGCGAGGCATTCCAGGAGTAGAGAAAAGGTGAAACAGAAGAAGAGCAGACATGTTTAATAGTACTTCTGCAAGGTGATTTAATAGGATTCAGAGTGGCATTTGAATTCAGAGCCAGGAGGTTGCGCACTAACATCTTGACTAGCACCACACGACATGGAGAAGATTAGGAATGGGAAGAAGAAGAAGACGAAGAAGAAAAAGAAGAGAAGAAGAAGAAGAAGAAGAAGAAGAAGAAGAAGAAGAAGAAGAAGAAGAAGAAGAAGAAGAAGAAGAAGAAGAAGAAGAAGAAGAAGAAGAAGAAGAAGAAGAAGAAGAAGAAGAAGAAGAAGAAGAAGAAGAAAAGAAGAAGAAGAAGAAGAAGAAGAAGCTAGTTAATCGTCGGACTCAATTTAATCCCCAACCACAGAGACATCGTTAAAATATGCAAAAAGCACACGGGCTCACTTAGTATTCCGCCCTCATCCATGCAGACCAGGAATTCGATCCGTGATAGGAAGATAAAAGCAGCGGCAATAAAACTATATACAATGCAATAACCGTGTGTCTAAACCAGACAGAGAGAGAGAAAGAGTTATGTATTTTTAGTCACAAACAAGCAC